ATGGTTATTATCATCACCCGACCTATTTTTAAAACCAAATCTAATTCAACCAATTAAACCAATCAAGTTGGACCGGGTTTCAAAATAGCGTGTAATACTTTACCAACTTATAAACACTTTTCTTTATATATATTATTTAAATATTTGTTATATAGACTTGTCTTTGTAGAAGCTAATGTATTTTATTAGATACAAAACTTGTGTCTATATACCAATTCATATATTTTGTTATAAGTATAAACTCATATTTCTTAATATGTTTAAGGAGTTACGTTAAACACTACTAAAATTCAAGCCTTGAGCAACAATATATCAACAACTTGGGATCCTTTGTTGCTAAAAATTTATATCAACAACAAGGCTTACATTGCTGAAAGTTGCATAGTACATTTTTTCCTTAAAAAGTTGCTCCACTTTCCCACTTTCAACAATGAGTATGTTGCTAAAAGTAAATTTTAGCAACATACCCATGTTGTTGATATTTTTTGGTAATTATTTTCCCATCTAATTGAGCTCCACTTTCAGCAAGATATCCCTTATTGCTGAAATTCACTTTCAGCAACAAAAGCTATGCTGCTGAAACTTTTCCAATCACACCTAAAGTATTAGCAACATATACTATGTTGCTGTTCTTCTTATCTTTTTACCAACCAAACATTAGCAACATATCCCTTGTTGTTGATATTATCACTTTGACTAGTAGTTGGTCAAGGCCATTATATATATATACCTTTAAACAAAGAGTCGAATCTAGGAACAAAGATTCAACTCTTGAGCATTCAAGAGTCGACTATATATGATAAACATTCGACTCCCAAATTCCATAGAGTTGAGAACGTTCTAAGTGTTGTATATAGTTGACTCTCTTTAATGAGAGTCGACTCTTGTTGGAAAAGAGTCGACTCTTATTCGAAAAGAGTCGACTCTTAATTTAAAAAGTCAACTATTGACAAAAAAATTGCGATAAGTTTACATGAAATGTCTATGTAGCCTCATATGCATATTCACATATTTTTTTAGATAAAATCAAGTTTTAAATTAGTTAAAGATATTAATATATAATGTAATTATATTAATTAATGTGTTAAGTGTTAAATAAAATTTAATAGATTAAACAAAATTAACTACTAAATTAAAAGTTAGGTATAAAAATAAATTGTCTAAAGATTAAAAATTTATTAAAATAGGTTAAATAAATTTTTACCTTTGCTTTGCCTAATCAGATATAAAAAGGTGAACCCACAAGCTAGGTTCTTTTCTTTTCCATGGATTTTGATTCAGTGATTGGCTGATTTTGTTTCAATTTTTTTCTTCTAAGTTTTTACTTTTATTTCTTGCAATTTTTCTTGGTTACATTTCTTTCTAAACTCAAACCTCTCTCTCCTTGCCTCCTGAAGGATGATGATAAAACTTGATTCTTTGATTGTTCCCATAAAGATGCTGAAGAAGCAAAAAGTATATTTTGATTATGATGATTATGAAGCTTGATTTTTTTTTTTTTTTGGATTTTAGCTGTGGATTTGTTGCAAATTTTCTCTCTTTAGTCTTTGTAAAGTGGTGAAATCAAAACCCAATCATCATATGCAATGGCGGAACCCAAAATGTGTATATTGCATGGATAGTTGCTGGGTTCTGCAAGGAACCCAATTGCTAGGGCTGGGCGATTAGTGTTGAACCTATGATTTTGATGATTACAAAACACATTTGAATGACTAATTGATTTATTTAAGTGTGTAGTTAAATTGCCAATATACTACAAAGTAAGCAAAATGAGATTGCATTAAAAAGGGTTCAAAGGGTAAAAATATGCAGAGAGCCGACTTAAGAAAATTGCAGCTGGCTCTGGGAAGCAAAAATGTAGAGAATCGACTGCAGATTTTGTTGAGCCAGCTTTACAGGCCAGAAATTCAACTGTTGTTTTGGCGTGCGCGTGGAAAATGGAAGCAGAGCCGGCTCCCACTTTGTAGCCGGCTATGAGGGCACATTTAATGCACAATGGTCGACTTATTTGAAGAATATTTAATGTATTTAAAGTCGAAGTTCCAAAGCCGGCTCAAAGTTTTGCAGTCAGCTCTTGAGGAAAACAAAATGGGCTGCAAACCCGGATAGCCGGCTTTGGAAGTGTAAGCTGGCTCTAAAAAGCCGGCTCTAGGAAGTTAAGTCGGCTCTCCTGACAATCCTGCAACTCGAGCTTTGCATCCTGCAGGGCATTTAATGACCCCCAACGGCTAGAAACGGCTATTTTCGAGTAAAGAGCTATAAATATGGTTGGTAATAGATTTGAAGAAGTTTGGAGAGTATTTTATTGAATATCTTTACCTACCAACTTGTGCTTAACTTGAGATTTTGATCTTTGAGAGATCTTTATTTGTAATCCTCTTCTTGTTTTATCTGTAAGTAATCTTGGGGGTGTGACTATTCCTTCAAGAGTGATTTGTAGAGAGAATTGTTTGGGTTTATCTTGTAAAGGGGTGAAATTTGAGAGAAACACCCTTATTCTTATAAAAGAATTGAGTGGCTCCTTTAAGCCACCCATGTTGTTGTTAGTGGAGAGTGTGGCGGAAATCCTTGGTGAATGAAGCCAAGGTAGAGGACTAGGCTCCAAGTGGTTGGACCAAACCTCTATAAATTATTGAGTAAGCTCTTCTTCTCTACTCTCTTTAATTTTGGTTTTGTGGTTGCAAAAAAGGGAGAATTTTTGGAACTCCAATTCACCCCCCCTCTTGGAGTACATTGAGTCAACATTTAGGCCCCCAACCACAAAAAACCCCGTGCCCACCTGCAACTACAACCAATGGGTCGGGCCTTTTTTGGTAATCGATTGAGCTGACATCGATTGCGGTTGTAACCAAAGGCCCAAGCGGGCGGTTGTCGGCTCCTAGGGTAGGACTATAGGAAGTACAAAAATTCAGATGAAAATACAAAAATAAAAAGGCTAGGCTTGTCGGTTGTCAGCTCTTGGGCCCAACAACCGACAACTGCATGAGTAGGCCCAGACAACCAACAAGCCTAGCCTTTTTATTTTTGTATTTTCATCTGAATTTTTGTACTTCCTATAGTCCTACCCTTCTGCTTGCTTTTACGCTTTTCTAGGTAAT